ACTTTTAGAAATTCTAGGAACCACTAGTAAACCTGCAGATTGAGAGCGAAGTGCTCTGTTAGGAACATAAGGAACAATCAGATCTCTGATATGACGCATCAGAACCAAACCCCACCCCTCCCACCTGACAGTAGGTGGCGCCGGCTCAGTCCAACACGCCCCAGACTCCTCCTACTGTTTGTTAAGGAGACATGTCCACCATGGCCGCCGTAAATGTCCAGAACCTTAAGAACCTCCTCCACCGATGACCCAGAGCTGTTTGTTTGTAGGTGGGTCCATGTTCTGTGTGCCGTGGCGGTGATGGAGGCCCGCTTTGTCGACGTGACCAGGAGAAGTCCAGTGGACCTCAGTGGGATCCCTCTGCAGAGATTCAAACTGGTGAGTCTGCAGTTCCCAAACCAGCCTGCAGGGGGGGCAGCAGGCCCATCAGAACCCCTCTGACTGCTGCTGTTTTCCTCCACAGAAATGTTACTACTGTAAGAAGCGGGTGAAGAAGGCCTCAGGCTGCTGTGTCCAGTGTTCCCACGGCCGCTGCCCCACCGCCTACCACCCCACCTGTGCCCAGGCTGCCGGGGTCCTGATGCAGCCGGACGATTGGCCCTTTGTGGTCCACGTGACCTGCTGTCGGCACAAAGGTCCCGCCCAGATCGAGGTGGGCAGCCGCTCTGCCGTCTGTCGCTCGTTGAGGCGACCCGGTCGGCATTAACGGTTCTGTTTTGGACTTCTGCTGCTGCAGCGCAACAAGGCAGCCATGCATGAGCTCACTGTGGGTCAGAAGGTCATCTGCAAGCACAAGAACGGCCGATACTACCAGTGTGATGTGGTCCAGCTGTCCAAAGAGACCTTCTATGAAGTCAACTTTGACGACGGCTCCTTCAGTGATAACCTCTTCCCTGAGGACATCGTGGTAGGTTCTGCTTCTCTCAGTCCAGGGCAAACATCTAAACTCCAGCATCACAGAAACTCTATTTTATTAGTTTGGGATGTTAGATAAACTGCTAAAAATAATAAAGGGAACACTTCAACAACAGAATACTACTTCCACCAAATCAAACTTCTGTGAAATCAAACTGGTCACTTGGGAAGCAATAGTGATTGATAATCAGGTAGAAAATATTGGCAATTAGCAAAACCCGCTCAGTAAAGGAGCGGTTCTGCAGGTGGGGAAATCAAGCTCACATTTATCCACAAACGGCATCCATTTATTAGTCCTTTGGAAAGAAAGGCTCCAATTATTTCGAAGAACCATAAAAAAAAAACGTGGCATCTGTACAACATTTTCTAGGGATTTATACCGATCCCACCCCCCACCCCCCTCAGTGGTCATTTACGTTAGCTGCTCTTTTCCCCCCTTTCCACGGACATTATTGTCCGAAAGAACAAGAAAAACTACAAAATAATCCTATAGTTATCGGCATTCATTCAGTTTTCATAAACTTTTCAAAGTTTAAAGTTAACCTGCTTGCTAACAGTGCAAAGTGCTTGTTCCCGCGGGTGAAGTTGTCTATGGACATTCCACCATATTCCAGGGGACATGAGGGCGTACCGAAGCCGTACATCCCAAAAACAGAGCGTACAATTTCTTATATTTTACGTAAAAGACGTACAATGTATGTATTGCTAGCTAATAAAAAACACAAACACAGACTTCCAATTAAATCTTTATTTAACCAACTTTTTTAACCATAAGAGAATTGTTTTAAAGAAAAATAACTTAAGAGACCTGGGTTATGTTATTAAATACTGACAAAGAAACTAAAGTGACCAGAATGTGACCAAAATTAATATAACAAATAAATAAATCGATCGATATATATCGTTATTGAATTATCGCCCAGCCCTACTATTTCTACACAAACAGAAGCAGACTCCATGAGGACGGTATGAGGGCCCCACGTGTTCTCAGCCCAACACCGTTCAGGACGCTTAGCATTTTACCAGAGAACAGTGAGATAGGCTAATTCTGATGCTTTGCGTGTGACTCCTAATCCAGGCCTCCATTGGTTATACTTTTTACAATGTTTTTTGTGTAATTTTGTTTTCAGTACATCCAGGTTCATACAAAACAAAGAATTCAATATTTTATCCAGGATGTGTTAATTCAGTGTTAGCAGTTTATTCCACTTAGAGTGAAACAGCTAAAGTATTTATATCTTGTCATTTGGATGGTTATGGCTCAATGAGAATGAAACTCTACATTTAATGTCTCTGAACCTCCTGGTCTCATGCGGCTAATAAACGAAGGGTTCCTCAGTCTGGATCAGTGGGGGACCCTGAACTCTGGGCTTCGATATTAAACCATAAACATCCAATCATGTCTTGGTGTGTTCTTTTTCCCGATTAGCTGAAAAGGTGTCAGATTAATTGTTCAGTTTTTGAAACCTAACAATAAATTTATTTTGCTCAGAATCGAGACTGCTCCCAGCTTGGCCCCCCGCCGCAGGGAGAAGTGGTTCAGGTGCGATGGACTGACGGGCTGGTCTATGGGGCCAAATTCGTGGCGGCTCATGTTATTCAAATGTACTTGGTAAGTTGTTCTGTTCCTCTGTGCTCTTCTGATCTGGGTCTAAAAGGGTTTATTTTATTGGCCTTTATACTATATAGAATAATTTGTTATTCTATAGTTATTTGTTATGATTTAAATCATCAGCCACTCCAGGTTGGTTAATAGGATATTTAATTAGATAATGTTTTGAACATGGCTGTGTGTTGGAACAACAAATGAAAGTCTGAATGGAGTTTAAATCCTGTCAAACATCAACTCTGCACACATGGAATAAATTATTAATATAAATAATTTATTAACTAAGATCATTCAGCCCCTAGAACTAAACTAACCCCAAAGGAAGAAGCGACTATGAACAAAGAGGAAGGAAAACATGGATGGAGGGAGAGAGTTTATGGCCAAACACTGTAGTCACAGCTCTGTCATCTCATGGAAAGGGAAATATGTTGTCATTGTTTTCGCCTTATGTTCATACTAAAATATCAAGACAAAATGTATCATGTAATGTAAAATATCATAATCCTGTAACTCCTTTAGATAATCTGATGAAATGGAGCTTTTCAAATAAATAGAACAGAATGAAATTACCATTAAAAAACTGTTTGGATGCAACATTTGTGAGATCTTTAAATAATGTGTGAGATTTCTCTCCATGGTTCTTCATCCGTAATACAGTTTTAGTGCCATGGAGGTAAAGTCTCCTAACCTGTATGAAGCTGGTTCCTGTTTTATCTGTTAAGCACTTAAAAACAATCACAGCTGTACAGAAAAAAAATATTACATAAAACATGGGTAAAATTTACACAATCAAATCAATAAAATTGGGTAAAACATATAAGAAATAAAAGATAAAAACTTTATAAAATAAAATAAAGCTCACTGTTTAGCTAGGTGTTAAAAGCCAAAGAGAAAAGGTTAGTTTCTGATGAGATATTTAAAGTTAGTGTTAGAAGAGGCCTGATGTGCTGAAGGAGGCTATTCATCGAGCATGGCACAAAAAAACAACAGATTGGTGAGATCATCGACGATGCATGATGACATAAACTGCTGCCAGACGCGCCTCAAGGGTCGAAGCAAAGCAGCCGCCATCAAGCAGAGACTGGAAAAAAGCCCAGAACAGAGGAAAGCTTGGACATCTCATGTACAGGCTTTTGTTTTGGTTTTTAAATACATTATGGGCCCGTAAAATATGTAAGGTTATGTGACTATTGCAGTCAAAGTGTTGATATTAAAAGTTGTAAAATCAAATCAAAACTTTAATTAAAAACAAAGCAAAAAAAAAAGAATAGAGGAAACCTGGCAGGAAACTGGATGATTATTGCAGGAAGAGCATCAATTAGAAAATCTGTTGTTCTTCTCTCCACTGGAGGGTTCCCTAATTCTCAATATGGTGCACCTAAGTGGGGCCAGACACCAAGTCAGCCCCCCAGGGTCAAACACACGTCTAAGACATTGATGGTTGGGGTGGTGTATCCGCCTCCTTACAGCCTCCAAAGCAGTGGGAACCATGCTAGCAATATCGGCACCAAACGGCAACAACTTGTTAGCCTCGTGAGACCATCCTGATCTCGCGAGCTTTCAAGATTTCACTCNGTATTTCTTCACTGAAAGAAGAGCAAAACACTGCTCTGGAGGCTTTTCTCAGAGGAAAAGATGTTTTTGCTCTTCTCCCGACTGGTTTCAGCAAGAGTAGCCTGGCCAAAATTACTTCAACAGAAGGTTTCCAGATGGATATGCGGTGCAAATCCAACTGGCAGAGTCAGGTTAACAACTTGTGTCCCTTCTAGAAAACCTTCTGTAGAGTCGGTGAGAGCAGTGGAAGACTACAGCAGAACCTGATACCAGGAAAAGCTAGCACATCATGGCAGCCCTGTTAGGGAATAACACAAGGGCCAATGAGTCAACTCCTCAGGGGCGAACAGATTCTCCTCCGCCTCACCAAAGCGGTCCCAGAGCCTGACAGCGCACAGTGAAGGGCCTGGTGGGAGTGAGGTGGATAGATCAGGAGGTCCCTGGACACTTTCAGAAGCCCCGTCAATTTTGTGCGTCCGTTTTGGTTGACGTGGTAAACAACAGATCTGTTTTCTGTCTGAACCAGCACATGCCTTCCCTCCAGACGGTGCAGAAACATCTGAGGGCCTTGTGCTCGGCCCGCATCTCCAACACGTTCATTTATTGGGTGAGCTCGGATCAACCCCAAGGACCACACAATGCCACACAGATAGAGCCCCCCCCCCCTGGACAAATAAGTCCTCTCTCACCATGGGGCCAGGCCATAATGGCACGTCTTAAAGGCCAATAAGATGTGACGCTGTCCTTTCCCAAACAAGGATCCAAAGTTGTGAGTTCGTAGAGGCCGTTTCTTCCATCTGCTGAGGAGTGTGACGGTCCAGCCAATGCTGGCCTTTATCACAAGGATTTACAGTAAAACTCATCTTTGTTTGATCGGGTGTTGGTTGAGTCGATAACGTGTTCAACGTCTCGGATCATTTCTCCTGCATCTGACAGACAGTAGGTGGAGATGGTTGGTAGGTATAAAACTGATGTACTGCTGTTCCAACCTGCAGGTGGAGTTTGAGGATGGCTCCCAGCTAACTGCCAAGAGAGATGACGTCTACACTCTGGACGAAGAACTTCCCAAGAGAGTCAAATCCAGATTGGTGGGTGGAGCTTGACCTGGGTGGATGGAAACAGGTGCAGTAGATGAATCTGCAGCCATGTCTCAGTTAACCGTTTCTCTCCTCCTGCAGTCCAAAGCCTCAGACATGAGGTTTGATGGCATCTTTGAAGACAATGAGATCCTCCAAGAGTCCAAGAGGCAAAGGGTGATCAACTCACGGTACCGAGGGGACTACATTGAACCTGTGATTTACAGAGCCATCATGGAGTAGAGCCGCTCTCCTGGTCCAGCCACCTTACTCACCAGCAGTTCTTGTGCACCTTAACCTTGCAGCTAGTCCCAGACATTGTAGCAGCAGACGGCTTCTTCAGGACTCGCAGGGACAGATTTTAGTCCCAATGCTTCTTCTCTGCTGGGCTCTGATGGTGAAAACAAGCTTGGTTACATTTTTTAGCAACTCCAAATGTCATCAATTAGGGACCAGATGACCCATAGAGCAGAGAACATAGAGATGTTCTATGAAACCAGCCTGGCTGGGTGGTTTCTGGGCGGATCCTGTCTTTCTGGGACAATCAGTGAGGTTCAGGCCTTTGGAGACGATGGCAGGCAGCACCTGTGGACCATCGAGGTTCTGCTGAGGCGCATCCGGGTGATACGCCAAACCCTGCTGCTTACAGGTCATACCGGTTTGAATAAGATCAACCAAGGCTTCATCTTTAGATGTCCTCTCAGTAGAGCAGCTGTGACCCGACCCAACCAGCTCCTCCTTCAGGGCGGGGGGCGGTACTGCAGCTTCTGTCCCACGTTTTATTACATCAGAGAAAAAAAACGGATAAATCTTATTTATTGTAAAGGTTTTATAAAACTTTATAAACTAGGTTGACCAGTCCAGGTGAACCAGAGCCTGGACTGAAGCGTTCCTGAGCTGCTCCTCTGAAAGCTCTTTCCTCTAATGATTTTTAGAAACCAACACTGGCTGTTTTATAAAAAGTGTTTCATAATTCTGAAGGTTGGATCATATGCTGTACGAGTTTTTGTCCTTTTTGGCCCCATTCTCCAGTTGTGTGAGAATTTTTTGGTTGGGGCCGAGTTTCAGCCTGATGATCTCACCTGCGTCGTGTCGTATACAGGCATGGGGGGGGCTGAAGGGAAATTAGTGGTCAGGAATCGTAAGGTCAGAAAATCAAACATGTTTGAAATTCTTGGTGAAGATTCTCAGTCATCCAGGTCAGTTTTTCCAAAAAAGTAAAAGAAAATCCATCCACTGGACTTTGTTTCCAAGTTTGAAGACGTTTCTCTTCCATCCAGGAAGATTTTTCAATTCAAAATGTGAGAAATGGCGTTGATTCCTTCCCACCATCATCACAACCCCTTACAGGAGAACAGAAGACCTCGCCTATTCAGCCAGGCCAACAATTCCCCCTAACGACCCCCCTTTCAGAGACATAGACAGGTATGGGGCATTGCAGGCTAACTAAGAAGCCAAACGACCCCCATTCCAAAGGGGGGGACCCGTTCATCCGTTTCTATCTACATGTTTTCTAAACATAAACCAGGCTTTGTTGGGCTGCTGGATAAAACCTGGAACTAAACGCTATTTCTGACATTTTGAAATGAAAAATCTTCCTGGATGGAAGAGAAACGTCTTCAAACTTGGAAACAAAGTCCAGAGGATTGATTTTTTTGATTTTTTTGGAATGTTTTAAATTTAGTCGGCTCTCCTGAGGTGTTTGTTGGCAAATCCTGCAGTTGAAGCAGAGCTAGGAACGATTTAGCAGAACCTCGAGCACTGCGCGTGTGCAAATAAAGGAGTTCTTCTTATTCTTCCAGATTGACGAGTCTCTGGATGCTGAGTCCGACACGTGGCTTCTGGATGTACAGTGTGAGCAGGTAGATCGCATCACAGCGTGGGGTCGCACAGTGGAAGGACAGTTTTAGCTGTAGCTGAATACAACTATTGAAAATATGGTAGAGTGTATGCCCCGCCTTAACCTGATCAAACGCTCTCTCATGGCTCTGAGCTCCTCAGTCCTTCCCTGGAAGACTAGGATGGTTTATGTTGCTTTTTTTATGCTGTAAACATATCAGAGGTCCTTTATTCTTGGTTTTCCGTCTTAGTTTGAAGGTTTAGACGAGTCTCTCAGCTTCCCAAAGAAACTATTAACTTCTCAGCAGAGCCACAGATTCCTGACGTCCAGCTTCATGGAACACATTCCTGTAGATCTACTCAGGATCTTTCTGCTCCTGATGGTGCTCGCTCAGCGTGAGCAGTCCCTCTGCTGAACTCTTTAGATGAGAAGCATTTTAAAAGGCCTCTTCGCTGTTTTTATTCTCCACTTTTTGGGACTTCTGAACAACGAGGTGCAGCTGTTTGTAGTTTATAAAGCAGAAGATGACGTTTGTTTGACCTTTCCTAAAGCTTGGCTTCCTTCTTCCTGCCCATCTCTGCGTAACTCCTTCATCCCATGGCTGCAGTAGAACAAGATGGCCGCCAGGTGTCCTCATTATTCTGTTTTTAGTTGGTTGTTTTTGCAGAAGTTTGTGGATGGAGGACATAATTTAGTCTTTAACGCAGTTGAAACCTGATCCTGTATTTTACTGTCCTGTTTGTAAAACGCCTTCAGTGAATTTCTCATAGAAGCCCTGCAGCGTGAACGTGTTGTTACGTCGTGAGCCAGCAGGGGGAGCGGTCTCTGGTTTTCTCCTGGAGAAAAATACATTTCAGATCATCATTCAGAGATTTTGTAAAATATGCTTTATTAAAGAAATGTACTCTCACAGCAGCCTTTGTCTTAAATGGAGGGGGGGGGGGGGGGGTACTTAAACCGACTGACTGACAAATAATATAATAAAACTCTAAAATGTTTAAATGCTACCTAGATTTATTCTAAAACTTAACATGATATTAACATAAATTAAGTTAATAATTATGAGTAGATATTGACATTTTTTCAAATTTTTTTTAAATGCTCATCTTTGTGTAAACCACATTTCTACAGAAACAGATTTTTCAAACGTTCACAGGAAACATCTGCAGAAGGTAAAGCTTCTAACCCAGACCAGGATAGATCTATGGTGAAAATGGGCGTGTTTGAATTCAGAGGCCGTGTCTTCCAAGGACCCGCGCTGCCTGGACTGGATCCTTGGTCCATTTATGTTGTGTCTAACTAATGGCTGTTTGTCCTTTTTATTGTCCAAAGCTCTTTTTTCAAACTGTTTTTTTTTTATCATTATCATTAATATATATATAAAGATCAAATGTTCACAAATGAATAAATGATTTAAAAAAACAGACACAACATAAATTTACCATTCACTATTTTTGACAAAACAGTCTTGACTATGACAAAAAATACATAAATATTAACATAGAATTAAATCTGTAAAAAAGCAACTTAACTTTACTCTCTTTTGTAAACTACATTACAACAAATGTTTCTCCATAGATCATAATAATCATCAAAGAGCAATCCTTAAAAATACTAAATAATCATGATATAGTATATAAATGTGTAATATTTGTAAAACATTATCTTATAATATATTAATATAAAACTGTGTTTATAATTTAAATATTTAATTGCAGATATATAACTGCATATATCTCATTCAGTTTGAGTTCAGTTTAAATAGTTTGTAATCTGAATAAATCTGTTTAACTGAAAGGTTATTTTAGAATTAGTTTTTTTTAAGGGGTTGTGACGTGTCAGAGATTATTGTAATATTATCTCGGGATTAAAATGAGATCTAAGGCGCCTCCTGTTCATTCACAGCAGCTGGTCTGATCCAAGATGGCCGCCCTGTAGGCACGTCGGCCAGCGTCCAAAGGCGTCATAGGTCTGTTGGCGTGTCACTGCTCCTCCCGGCCAGTAGGTGGCGCTGAAACATTAATGTGGAGTCGGTCTGACCCTTCTCGCTTACCGTACTGCTCCTTATTCAACATTTAGCGCGAGTTCGGACGGCAGTGGGAGCCGGGCTGCTGGTACCGGTTTGAGTCTAACCGACACCGTCATGGCAGCTTTCTGACCCCCAGAGGAAGCCGCGGAAATGGTAAAACCAGCCCAGGTTCTGGTGCCTGCTCGGTTCTGTTCGGCTGGTTCTGACTCGGTGTGTTGTTGTTCCGCAGAGGAGGAGCCTGGCCCCCAGTCAGCTGGCTAAACGCAGAGCGGCCGGAGAGGACGGCGGCCCGCCTGGAAGCACCGTAAGATGCTGCTGGAAAGGTTCCGGTCCGGGTCCGGTTCTATCGGAGCGGACTAACCGCCCCCTTAGGCGTTAGTAGTGAAACACCGGGTCGGTCCAGCAGGTTCTGGAGGTCATCAGAGTCTTTATGGACCTGCAGGCAGACCAGAACCACCAGATGAAGTACTTCCATGTACTACAGGATAAGAAGTAGTGGGTCTGCTGTCCAGCAGGTGGTTCTGATCCACTCTGCAGCTGTGGGATCAGACCGAGGAGGAGGACCTGTGATGGCGCTGCTTAGGGGCCCTACGGTGCAGCAGAGGCTGTCACCAAACATCCTCATGGACCCGAGTCTGTTCTGCCATTTATGGCTCTGACTCGGATCAGAACCTTTACCTGCCATCTGACTCTCCTTTCAGATGTTGGGGGGTGGCCACTGGGACCCCACTGGCTGCTCCACTGGCTGCCCCACTGGCTGCCCCACTGGGACCCCACTGGCTGCCCCACTGGGACCCCACTGGCTGCCCCACTTTGACCCTACTGGGACCCCACTGGCTTCCTTACTTTAACCCCACTGGCTGCCCCACTGGGACCCCACTGGCTTCCTTACTTTAACCCCACTGGCTGACCCCACTGGGACCCCACTGGCTTCCTTACTTTAACCCCACTGGCTGTCCCACTGTCCAGGATAAATTGTATCAGCATCAGTTTAGCATTTCCTTCCATTCTGCGCAGCCAGCAACATTAAAAAATCAGCCAATAAAACAGGATCTGAGGAGGTGTTACTGAACCTTTCTGATTTCTACAGACAGGTTTACCACTATAGTAAACACATTGCAAACCCTGGAATTATGGCTTTTAGTGTCAGTGGCCCAATCTGACCCCCCCCCCATTAAACATTTCTCGAGGAGGCACCACTGTTGGGTAGGTCTGATCCCTGCCGACGGTCCGGGCCGGTGTGATCTGGTCCGTTTTAGGTGCTGCCTGGTGCTGTAGAAATGACTGTGTTTTTTTTTCTCCCAGGAGAAGAGGAGGAGGTTGGAGGAGCTGAGAGAGATCCACGTTTCTCCCCACAGGAAGCCGCTCAGACCCATCATCAACTGGCCTGTGGAAGTAGACAAACATGTAAGTGGGGATGCCACCCCTATGGCAGGCAGTTTTATCATAAAATCAACTTCTTCTGACCATCCGTAATTACTTTTAAGATATCAAAGAAAAAGTTTAGACTATCCTGAATGATTATTAAAGATATCTGAAATTATATTAGTGAAAATAACAATTCTAGATATCTACAATCACATTTTGGAAAGTCAAAATGTATTTTAAATATCTCATTTAAAGTGTCACACATCTGACTTCTGAATAGTCAAAGTTCCAGTTTAGATAACTTAACTATGAAATGGACTGTAGTTCTGTCACTGAGCCGTCCAAACAGCTGCCTGCAGAGTTTTGGACTTTTTTAAAAAGTTGTTGCAAAATGTCTTCATATAGAAAGCAGTGAGCGGTATGGGATGAGCGGAGAGCGAGAACTTTGTGAACTCAGCCGGATATTCACCGTTCTCAAAACGTTTGCTGTTTTTCTGGCATTTTAGTGAAATAAGCTCAAGCAGTCAGTGAAAGTGTTTGTGCAAACTGATGCTCAGTGATGAGCAAAATGAAAGATGTTTGTCATTTTTATTCAACAATAATATTTTTTCCAGAGTTGTTGGTTTTAATGGGGCTGGACGTTATGTGATCAACCAATCTTTTGGTTAAACCAGCCAGTCTAATTTGGCTATTTTTTTACCCGATCTATATTTATATTAGGGCAACCAATACTAATTAGTCACATGAGCCGAAATACTTGTTAAGCTTTATTGCAACTTTCAAAAGTCTGAGGTGGTTTTTGAACCGGCAACCTAAGGTTTAGGACTCCGTGTCTTATAGCTGCCGCCACTGGCTAACTAAAGTTACATCTGTAACCAGCGGCTCGCTCAGATTCTGATCATTACATTGTTTAATCTAACTAAAATAGTTTTAACTAGATTGTCTGGAAAAACCAACCAATCTATTCTTAGAATCTATAAACTCTATCTAACTGACAGCAGCTCTGCTCCAGTCTGAAGCATTTCCTGAAGCGGTCACATGGTGTCACAGCAGAGAGGCTTCAGACGTTTTGGCCCCTCCCCTAACCTATCATTCGACGCGCCTCGAAGCCTCGGCTTATCTCATAACACCACTAGGAAACAGTAAAGGCTAACAGATTAGTGTTCTAATCATTTCTGATTCTAGTCTCCTTTATTTTTAGATTTTGTTAAATGTGTTTAATTTTGAACCAGATGTGCATCCTAGATAAAATGGGGTTTTATTGCGTAACCCGACCCCCGCTGCCTCTGATCAGCAGCATCATTGTTTTCACCCATGAACCCTTTAAGAGGTGCAGGAAGGATCCCTGCCGCCGCCGCCGGGCTTTCAGACTGAGACGGATCAGGGCGGAGCTTCCTCCTCCTGCTCTACGCTCTACGGCCATCATGGTTGAAATATTTCTACGCAGCCGACGTGTGCTCGTTAGCCACAGCTCCGCTAGCTGCTAGCTGGCCTGTGACGGACCTCCTGGACCGGGCCGGTCCGTCCACAGCCAGCTAGCGTAGCGGCGCAGACACAGAATCAGGCCCCTGTAAGCATTGATTGACCTCTCTGAACAATCAAGCTTTCCACGACTGCACTCACTAGGAAACTTTGTTTGTTTTGCAGGAGGCCTTTATTCGGAATATTCTCTCCAAACCCTTTAAAGTTCCTATTCCCAACTACTCAGGTGAGTTCAGCCTGCAGTCTGAGCTGAGATCCAGGTCTGGTGATGGAGAATGACGAGGTTTGCTCCCACAGGTCCACTGGGAAGCAGAGCACTTGGTCTGAGACATGCAGGAGTTAGGAAGGCGCTCCATGATCCCTTCGCAGAAGATGCTTTGGTTCTTTATGAGCCTCCAGCTCTCGGCGCTCATGAGCTGATCAAAGCTGACAAGTAGGTTTGAATCCCACCGGGGGAGGAAAGCAGGCTGACTAAACGAGCTCAGATCTGATGGATGTATGAAAGCAGCAGGAGAATAATCAGAATGACTCCTGTCTTCCAGAGAGAAGCTCCCGGTCCACGTTGTGGTGGATCCAGTATTAGGAAAAGTTCTCCGTCCCCATCAGAGAGAGGTACGCCTGTCCTGTCCAGCATCACCGCCCGCCCAGATGAAAGGAGGAAACTCTGGAAACCTCTTTTAAATATGAGATTAAATGATCAAAAATAACAGCAAATCAGTTTAATCCAAATGAAGTGACTGACTAATCAGCTTCTTTTTCAGAGACTCTGGTCCAAAGACTATAACTTCTGTTTTGTCTGCATTCAGAAGCAGAAAGTTAAGAGTCATCCAGGTTTTTCTGTCTTCAGACATGCCTGTAATCTATGTAATGGGTTAGCTTCATCTGGATTATAGACAGATATAGCTGGGTATCATCAGCATAACAGTGGAAATTAATCCCATGCTGTCTAATAACTCTACCAATTGGGAGCATGTATAAAGTAAAGAGAATTGGTCCTAGCACTGATCCCTGTGGTACTCCACAGGTAACCTTTGAGCATGTTGAAGATCTATCATTAACATGAACAAACTGAAATCGATCAGATAGATCAGATTTAAACCAGTCTAGAGCTGTTCCTTTAATTCCAACAAAATGTTCAAGTCTTTCTAAAAGAATATTCTGATCAACTGTGTCAAATGCAGCACTGAGATCCAGCAGGACGAGCACAGATACAAGTCCATTATCTGAGGCCATGAGAATATCATTAGTGACTTTCACCAGAGCTGTTTCAGTGCTATGATGAGCTCTAAAGCCAGACTGAAACTCTTCAAAAAGTTCATTATGGTGGAAGTGATCGCACACTTGTTTGGAAACTACTTTCTAAAGGATTTTGGATAAGAAAGGAAGATTGGATATAGGTCTATAATTGACCAAGTCATCTGGGTCAAGGTAACATCTGCCCCCCCCACCCCCGAGACAAACCTAAAAGATAAATAATAAGGTGGAGTGGGGGCCTAGTGGTTAGACTCCAGAGCCTACTGCAACTATTTTTCCAGAATCTTCTCTGCAGCTCTAGTAACAGGAAGCTGGCTCCCTGGTTTAATGTAGAATTCTAACTTTTAGAATGGGTCACATTGTCTGAGGCAGATGTTACCCCGTCAATAAAATCAGGCATATTTGAAGGCAATAAATGAAGCGGTTAGAATGAACGGTTTAAATGGACCGTCTGGCGTGGTCTGCGGTGTGAAAGTGTTTTATTTTTCTCCACCCTTTGGTGTGTTCAGGGCGTGAAGTTCCTGTGGGAGTGCGTGACCGGCAGACGCATCCCCGGATCGTACGGCTGCATCATGGCTGACGAGATGGGCCTGGGAAAGACTTTGCAGTGCATCGCTCTCATGTGGACCTTGCTGCGCCAAAGTCCCGATGCTACGCCAGAGATCGATAAAGCCATCGTCGTGTCGCCGTCGAGCCTGGTTCGGAACTGGTACAACGAAGTGGCAAAGTGGCTGGGAGGTCGCCTTTCGCCATTAGCCATCGATGGCGGCTCGAAGGAGGAGATCGATAGGAAGCTAGGTAGATCTGGGTGAGGCGTTGGTAGCCGGGAACCCGGCGCTGCAGCTAGGAGGGACCTGCAGACGCCGGGTTGTTAACATGGCTTACAGGAAGCAGGGAGTTTCTAATAGTGAATAATCCCAGTGATCAGATTCAGGTTGTCGATGTGAATTAGAATAATTTTCCCATCGTTTATTATTACAAATGAAACTGGGAGCTTTTGAGGCTGATCTGTTTTACTGGTTCCCAGTTAACTTCACCTCCCAGCGTGGATCGAGGGCACCCACACCCATCCTGATCATTTCCTACGAGACGTTCCGACTTCACGCCAACGTCCTGCACAGAGGGAAAGCTGGACTGGTGATCTGTGACGAGGTGCAGTTGGTTCCGCCTCATTGTGGCGACGGTGATTCATCTGGAAAAGTGAAGGAAAAGTTTTCTGTCTGCCTCCAGGGTCACCGACTGAAGAATGCCGACAACCAGACCTACCAAGCTCTGAATGCAATGGACGCCCAGCGGAGGGTGCTGATCTCAGGCACACCCATCCAGAACGACCTCCTGGAGTACTTCAGTCTGGTCCACTTTGTAAACGCCGGAATCCTGGGTAAGCTGCAGCGCCACAGCACCGCCACGCGGGTCGGCCCGCCTCCCCATGCTCACTGTCACTCACGGCAGGCACCGCCCAGGAGTTTAAGAAGCGCTTCGAGCTGCCCATCCTGAAGGGGAGAGATGCAGACGCCAGCAACCGAGACCGGCAGGAAGGAGAGGAGAAACTGAAGGAGCTCATTGGCATCGTCAACAGGTTGGTTCAGACGTTCACCTCATTCTATCCACTTTATTTCTATAGTGCCAACATCCAACATAAGTCATCTCTAGGCACTTTATAGATCTAGATCATCCAGTCAGATTGAAGAGAGCACATCCAGTTAGTCACAGTCAGAGAAACAGGACTACACTGGAAAACAGGCAGATCTCCAGCATCTAGAAACAAAGGTGTTGATGGCAGCAGCACAGCTGATATTTCTCTCCAGGATGGAGTCACAGCCAAACAGGAACAGACCAGATGCAGCTACTCTGATCCAGCAGTCTAATCCTATAGCAGCACAAATG